GACATACACACAGAGCATGAAATAGAACAGGTCTGGGAATGGGTACCAGAGATGGGAGGACTGTCATGGGTTCCAGGTCACCCTGTCTCAAAAATAAATTCAAAGTTGGTACTTCTATCAGGACAGTTACCCTGCCTCCAGCATAGCCCTAGAAATCACTGACTTACCTGTCTCTATGCCTAACATGAGAAACCCAACTGCATTGGTCTTGTTCACAGAGCCAACACTGCACCTGGCAGTGACTGGGTCCTTCTAGGTCCTGAATAATTAGGAAATGAATGATGTAAGCTCTCCTCCATTCCCATGTAATCTACTAATCTCTCACTTTCCTAATCTAGCATCATACATTTTCAATCATATATATATCAAGCAAACACACCTTCACTAACTCACCTTGACTAAGAGATCAACATTCCCCACTGCAATGCTCGATACTATCCTTGATCAGGACCCTTCCCCCATCTCAGAACCTTCCTTTACCTCACTTCACATGAATTCCTTCCAGCCCAAAACAAATGATAAAACCCTCAGACTGCTCCTCGTCTTCTGGACCCACATGCTCCATTTATCTTTTGAGAAGTTTGTTGAGCTTTCCTCATCCTAGGATCCTGGAACCAGGGGACATTGGGGTAGAGTGCTTGCTGCATCTCAGTGCACACCTGTCACCAAGCTCAATGAATCAGCCTCTTGGTGGAAACTGAATCCAAACAGAACACCAAAGAATAGCTGTCACATAAAGCACACTTTACATACGATGTGAACTCAAGTTCTTTTAAGAAGCTACATCTGTGTTGAAGGTTCTGGAGTGATTGATTCGAATTCTGTAATTATGGCGAGATGGAATGTTGCAGCTCGAGAGCCAAAATTATCTTGAGCTATTTTTACTCTCCTTAAATAGCCATTTACTCCAACCTCCATAACAGGCCTATTACCCATTATCTTTATGCCTATTACATAAAACTTTTGGAATGTTGTGCTTAGCAGACGTCTAGGCTCCATAAACCCTACAGTTAAGAATGTGATTGGATCTGAAACTAGAGCAGATTCCCCCACTCTGCTGTAACCTGCCTACCTGCTGTCCCCACCAATACACTGGGCAAATGCATGAACTTATGACTTTCTTTTGTCCTATGACTATAAAAGTCCATTTAACCTCTTGCACAGTGGAACATGCCATTCAGAGTAACCTGAATCCATGTTCCCAGGCTATGACCATTCATATTTGCCTCCAAATAAGCTATCTCATTTCTTTTATCCCTCCTAACAGGAGACAATTCATCCTGCACCGTATGATGCTGCCCCTATTCTGTACTTGGGTTTGGGGCTGGAGAGTAAAGTTCAAAATGTTTCCCAGATAGAGAAATAATTGTCCACAATACTTTGATGAATTGTTTATTTTTTTTAATGTGAAGTGTTACTTTTATCATAAAATAAATTGTTGGAGGAGACTATTCAGTGATTAAGAGCACTTGCTGGTACTCAGCACCCACATCCCGTGGCTCACAATCACCCGTAATTCCAGCTCCAGGGGATCCAGCACTCTCTTCTGGCCTCCAAGGGTACCCCCACACAAGGCATACATTCATGTACACACACACACACACACACACACACACACACACACAAATTTAAAAATAAAATTAAGAAATGCTTGGATATGTATTGGATCAATCTCTAGAGTCGCTATTGTTTTCCACTGATCTTTTGGCATTTCAAATACACCAGGTGTTTTGGTTGGGTTTTGGTTGAGGGGACATGTACTTTGCATTACATACAGCATTGTAACACACCAACAAACACTGCCTCAAAAATCTGAACTCAGAGTCCAGACTAGTATATGTTACCCAGTGTTTTTACTGTACACACAAAATCTTCTGCTCTAGGGGCTGGAGAGGTGGCTCAGCAGTTAAGAACACTGGTTGTTCTTGCAGAAGACCCAGGTTCGAATCCCAGCACCCACATGGCAGCTAACAACTATCCGTAACTCCAGTCCCAGGGGATCCGATAGCCTCTTCTGACCTCTGTGGGTGCACTTACCTATATGCAGGTAATACACGCATACACATAAAATTTTAAAAAAATTTTTGTTTTAAAAAAATAAATAAAAAAAAATAAAATCTTCTCTTATAAAAAATAATTTCAGCCGGGCATGGTGGTGCACGCCTGTAGTCCCAGAACTTGGAAGGCAGAGGCAGGCCGATCTCTACAAGTTCAAGGCCAGCCTGGTCTACATAGTGAGTTCCAGGACAGCTGGGGCTGCAGGGAGACCCTGTCTCAAAAAGACCAATAATAATAATAATTTCATTATGGAAAACAAACACTTTTAACTATTTTCTTACTATCATTCCTCAGTATCTAATCATCAAATTAGCATAGCTTTGGATTTTACAGTACAGAATGTTTGATTTTAAAAACTGATGTTTGCAGTCAGACATCATGGCTCATGCCTTTAATCCAAGCATAGTGGAGGCAGAGGCAGGTGGATCTCCGTGAGATCGAGGTCAGCCTGGTCTACATTGCAAGTTCTAGACCTGGGGCTACAGGGAGAACCTGTCTCAACACCCCCCCACCCCCCCACCTCACCTCCACCCCCGCAAACAACAATAACAACAAAAAACTGCTGTTTGAGTTGCTGACAAGTTTCAGGAAAAAGTTGTTTACTAAATTTTGGCCTGGGGGAGAAATGTACACAAAATATTCTAATGTTCTTTTCTGGGCTGTATAATCAATGATAAAATAAACATGAAATCTATTGAATACAGAAAAAAAATTTTGGCCTGGGATTAGGGAAGAATTTCCAAGTTTCTGAAATAGCCTTAAATACAACTCTGCCATTTTGTACTAAACAGTTATGCAAAGTAGTGTTCTCGATTATAAATTTAAAATATAGATCAGCTCTGAAAAATGTTGAAGATGGCTGTCTTAGTTTGTTCTTCATTGCTGTGACAAAACACTCTGACCAGTACCAACTTGGGGAGGAAAGGGTTTATTTGTCTTACATCTCCCAGGTCGCACGCAGTTCATCAGGGAGCCCAAGGTAGGAACTCAGGGCAGGAACCTGGAGGCAGGAGCTGGAGCACAGGCCATGGAGGAACGCTGCTTACAGGCTTGCTCCCCTGGCCCCTGCCCAGCCTGCCTTCTTATGCAACACAGGCCCACCTGCCCAGGGGTGGCACCACCTACAGTGGGCTGGGCCCTCCCACATCACTCATCAAGAAGATGCCCTTCAGACATGGCCACAGGCTAGTCCAATAGAGGCAATTCCCCGATTGAGGCTCCCTCAACCCAGGTGTGTCAAGTTGACACTAAAGCTATCCAGTACAATGGCCTATATACTACAGCATCAAATATTCAGTCAAAATTTAATTCTTCATTTAAGAATACATAAGCACACTCAACTCATTGGTATGCAAATTTGAAATTGTCTTTAGTAAAATGTTAAATTGTATGTATGCCAAAGAATTGTTTTAAAATTCTTTACAATTTATAATCAGCAAATATTTAACTTATATATCTATTTTATATGCTTATATACCTGGAGTTGCATAAAAATTTCTCAGGTGAAAAGGGTTCATGAATGGAAACAGTTTAAGAAGGCCTTCTCTAGAGCTGACTGGGTGGGGAGAAGCCAAGTGGCCCAGGCAGAAGAATGCTAGTCACATCAACCGGGGATCTTGATACTGACTCTCCATAATGTTAGTGAACTTTCTATTTTGAGGTGTGTGGATGCTTTGTAAAATGCTGAGGCTTGAAACTCAAGAAACCATTTTAGTTATCCAGATGGAAGTGAAAACAGAATCTCAAATGCATTGAAAACAGGAAAAAATAAAATAAGAAAAACCTTTATCTACGTGATCAAAAGTAAAAGGCAAGTTGGGCACATGCCTTTAATCCCAGCACTCAAGAGGATCTCTGTGAGATTGAGGCCAGCCTGGTATACATAATGAGTTCTAGGCCAGCTGGCGCTACAGGGAGGCCCTGTTTCAAAAAACAAAGCAAGCAAAAAGCAAACTGAAAAAACCACATTCTGAGAGGAAGAAGAACCAAAATGGTGGTATCAGCAAGGACTAAAACCACACTAACTGGTGGGGGAAAGGCTTGTTTCATTTTTTGAGACAAGGTCTCATACAGTCTAGGCTGGCCTCCAACTCCTAATGATTTGAGGCTGGCTGAGAACTTCTGACCCTCCTGCCTCCACTCCTAAGTGCTGGGTTTTCAAATATGTACCATCATACCCACTTTAGGTTTGTTTCTCTGAAACTGGGAGTCAAGTAGCTCAGGCTGGTCTTGAACCCCTAATCCTCTTGTCTCTACCCTCCAAGTACTGAGATTACAGGCATAAGCCACCATACCCTGCTTTACCACTGGTAAATCTGCTATTGATGAGTACTGTGGTTTATCTGGGAAATGGACTGCATCACATATTCTAGGATCCAGTCTTCAAAAACATGACTGCCAGTGCTGGATGCTTTAGTTGTCCACTTGACACCCTTGGGAAGAGGGAACCTCAAATGGGGAATTTCTTCTATTGGAATGGCCTTCTGGGCATGTCTGTTAGGCATTTTCTTGACGGCTGAGTGATGTGGGAGAGCCCAGCCCACTACAGGTGGTGTCACCCCTGAGCAGGTTGTGTAAGAAAGCAGGCTGAGCACAGGCAAGAGGAGCAAGCCAGTTAAGCAGCGTTCCTCCATGGTCTGTGCTTCAGTTCCTGTCTCCAGGTTCCAGCCTTTACTTCCCTTGATGATGGACTGTGCTGTAAACTAAACAAACCTGTTTCTCCCCAAGTTGGTTTTGGTGGGTTTTTAAAAAAATATATATTATTATTATTATTTCTTTTTTATTTTATGTGCATTATATTGCCTACATGTAGGTAAGTGCACCCGTGTCGTGCAATGCTCAAGGAGGACAGAAGAGGCCATTGGATCCCCTGGGACTGGAGTTGCAGACAGTTGTTAGCTGCCATGTGGGTGCTGGGATTCGAACCCGGGTCTTCTGCAAGAACAACCAGTGTTCTTAACTGCTGAGCCATCTCTCCAGCCCCTTGGTCAGTGTTTTCATCACAGCAATAGAAGATAAATACCACACTAACCAAGACATGTCAAAAATGGGAGAACACAACCTGGGCTGGTTTCCATGACAACTTAAGCTCTGGGACTATTCTACAGCTCATATAGCATGATCACTGGGAGTGTCCTCTCTGGAGCTGGACCACGCCACAGCCATCACAGGGCTCTGGACACCTCTCTGTGCACCTGCTATTCTTCATATAAAGACAATCAAGTATGCCTAGGGTTGCTTTAAATGAGTAAATCCTTTTACAGTACTTTCTAAGTTCCCCAAACCAGCTAGTACTACATTCTCAATTCCCTGAGTCCTGGAACAAGTGTACGCCATCATGCACGGCATGGTTGGTTGTTGTTTTTGTATGGTTTTGAGACAGGGTATCGCATAGGCCAGGCTGGTCTCAAGCTCACTATGTAGCTGAAGATTACTTTAGACTCTTGATCCTCCTGAATGCTCCGCCACCATATCTGGTTCATGTGGTGCTGAAGATCAAACTCAGGGCTTCAGACATGCTGTGCAAGCCTCTGTGGAGTCACCTTTCCAGGCCTTTAAGGCTTTTTTCTTTCCTTCTTTTCCCTTTTTTTGGCTGGCCTGGAATTCACTATGTAGCCAGACCGGCCTCGATCTCGTGGCAATCCTCTTTCCTCAGTCTCCCAAATTCTGGGATTACAAAAATGAGCCATCACCCAGCTTGTTTTTAATCTTTTTTTTTTTTTGTCTTTTCGAGACAGGGGTCTCTCTGTAACCGCAGCAGCTGTCCTGAAAGTCACTATGTAGACCAGGCTGGCCTCGAACTCTCAAAGATCCACCTGCCTCTACCTCCCAAGTGCTGGGATTAAAGGCCTGCGCCACCACGGCCGGCTTAATCCATTTTTTAGGACTAGGCAAAACTGTCTCTGAGAAGGCAAAGTCAAAACACTTGGGCTTCTTATTCTCCCACCACACACCAATACACAACTTAGCATGGGGGCTGATGCGTACAAAAAGGACTCAGCAATAAGTATATATTTGGTCCGGGCGTTATTAATCACCGATATTTAGTAAGCAATGGGTCGGACATTCTTGTGCCTTCCTTGTAGATTAAATCACTCAATCCGTCCCCAAAGGCCAGAGCTGGGAACTGAGACATCTCCGGTTTTAAAGGGAAAATGAAGCCCAAACCGGCTAAGGAACAACTCTAAATTTACAGAATAGCATGTAGCATAGCTAGCTACACCCACACACCCCGCTGACCGCCCAAGTGCAGCTATGGCGTCTCCGCTTTCATGAAAAGCATTATTTCTCACCACGCACAGCACACAGAGCAATAGCTCAAAATCTAGACCTGCGGTTATGGGGAGGGAAAAAACGGGCTACTCTGAACAACTTTTTTCTGCAACCCATAAACGTGACATTCAGAGGAGGCTGTGTCCTGCAAGATCTGCGCCCGGTAGGCCAGAGTCCAGATGAGGAAAGCGAGAGCGGGCTGCCAGCGGCCGCAGAAACTCCACGGTCCACCCTAAGCGGTAGGTCCGCCCCGGCCCAAGCGGGCCCGCTTCCACCTCGCACAGGGACTAGACTGAGGCGTAGCAGCGATGGCGACCGCCACGGGCGAGACCGGCTACTTCCAGAGGGGCAGCCTGTTCTGGTTCACGGTCATCACCCTCACCTTCGGATACTACACGGTAAGGGCGGCTCAGACCCGGCCACGCAAGCGCAGTCCCAGCCCTGCGCCGCAGTCGGCACGCACCATCCCCGAGAAGGACGCAGGCGTACTGGGCAGCCGAGGCCTAGGCCTGAGAAACCGGCTCTGCATACTTTCCCTGTGCCGGTTGAGGGCTGGAACGGTTCCGCACTCCACGACTCAGTGTCTAGGTCTTTCAAGATGGTGGTGGCGAAGTCGGAGGTCCGTAGGGACACCACTGCCTATTTCCGTGCAGCCAGAGCCTGGCCGTCGCTGGTCACAGCGCTGGGACTGGGCTACTTCGCGGTGAGGCGTGCGGCGGGGTTTGGGCCGCTCGGGCCCCCGTAGGGAGAGGGGCACTGTGGAACTGTTGCCTCCGCGCAGGCTCGTCCGTAGCTGTGGCGCTAGCGGAAGTTCGGTGGGCTCTTGCG